CGTTCAAGCCTCACAAGCTCTCGGCGGGCAATTTTTAACCTCTCCGTTGACCTTACAATGCCAACATAGTCCCACATTATTGCTTGTAGCCGTCTCCTGCAGGTCTCAGTATACTTCATGACTGCGGTGTAGTTGGCCGATTTCTTCATCGATGTCCAGCTCATTGGCCTTGGCCAGTACTCACTGTCCACCTCCCAAACATCACATCCTTGACTTGATGCAGACTTCATGTACGCGATTGATGGCAAGATTGCTCGCTGGGAGAATACCAGAGCCTGAGCAACCACTAAACCCTGAACCCTAAACCCTCGTCCTTCTTAACAGCTCCCCGATATACCATTCCCATTCAAGGATCGCCTTCCTCATTGCTCCGGGACTCTTTGCTTTGACCCTTTTACCTCCCTTGCTCGCCTTCATTACTAGCTTGCATCCTGGTCCCCACTGTTGTACATCAAAAGTAGTGACCCGAAAGCAGAACTGTCTCAGTTAGATTCTGGCTCGAGGGTTCCACTCCCTGATTCCGTGCTTTGCTGTTCCAGATTCCTTCTTGAAGCGGAGTTGTGCCACTCCTTCCAACAGATACRATCATTCCTCAACTCAGCAACCTTCCCCCCTGCCAACCATGTCTTGATGAACTTGTTTCTAGCCTTCTTCCGCTGCTCTTCATCGTCTGTCCATGTACTCTTGATCCTCTTCCATCTGCATAGAATTTCTGCCTGTATCAGAACCTTYGTCTCCACCCAGACTCTCTCCCGTGCGTTTGCAGCCCCCTCAATCGTTCTGCTGCATCTTTCCTTCCATATGACCCAAAGGGAGGTCTTCCTGATGAACTCAAACCAGATCCTTTCTGCTTTCYGTGGCCACTTAGGGATGTCAATCAGAAGGAGAAGTTGGATGGGTTTCTCAGGGAACGGGGAAGTGAAGAGGGAATCCCAAAGGGTGGATGCTCTCGCCCAATAGTCTGTTSCTYCTTTGCAGTATATTAGGCAGTGTACTATATCCTCTACTGCATTATCCGTGCACACCTTACAACGGTCAGAACTATCCGGTACAGACTCTTTCCTCCTGATATGTAACCACTGATTGACTGGTAAAGCTGCGTACGTGATTAACCACTGAAGGCTTCGGATTTTGACTGGTCTAATCATCTTGTATGTTTTCCACGGAATCTTCGTAATTTTATCCACCTCCTGGCCTATTATCTTTAGCCATCTTGCTTTGATGACGGGTTCAGGGTTTTTCGTTTTTAGCATAAGTTTGTACCCTAGCTTAACCGTGTATTCCTGTATAAAAGTGCGCTTCTTAACATTTTTCTCCTTGTCTGGTTTGCATGCCCACTCGCCCGGGTCGAACTCTAGGTCTCGAATGGCCGTGTCGATTCTGAAGATCGATTTAGGCCAATCCCCTAGCACTCTCACTTTCCTAAGTAGGAAAACTTCCATAACTATGGTTTCTACATCAGTATTCACGACCGATGGCATACCCTTCGCTGTGTGCGTGATTGGGAAGGATGTGAAGATTGCCTGGGTGGTCGATCCTTGTTGACAGTGTGAAAACTGAAAAGCTCTAGAGGGTCTGCTTTCTTGAATTTTAACCCCCCATTCTCCATTATTCCAGTCCCCGGCCTGTTTCAACATCTCTTCCCACTCTGGCGGGACCAGGCCCGTTATGTACTGTAAATTGAGGCCTCTCCTGTGACACCCCTTGAGCCGAGTACTCAGCTCCTGTTCAGATATCCAGTCCTTTCTATCATGGTTCCATAGGTGTCCAATTGTCCAAACCCCATTCTTTACCCAAGAGAGCCACCTATGGCTTAGGAGTAGAGGCTGATCGCTTTCACTCCTTACCCACTCATTACCAAACAGTGGTTGTCTTAATATTTCATCTTTGGACTTATGTCTGTTGGATTTTTTAGGCATAATTGATCTCCAAATCCGGATGAGAGCCTCCCAGTAAGGTGAATGATGAATATCCGCGTTCTGTGATATTTCCCCTCTGGCTCTCCTCCTCCCTTTTTTCAACGACCATTCTTTGTTCATTACCCAGAATAGACCAGTCATGTTGCTTGGCGATGGGATCGGGGCCAGCGTCCTTATACTGTCCAAGGCGAGGTTGTTCCATGCCGTTTCTGGTTTTGTTAGCAACCGAACTATCCATTTAACTTGGAGAGCTTTCGTCTCACATTTCGGGTCTATAATCCCCAGTCCCCCTTGGAAAGGTTTCCTTGTAATATAATGCCAGGCTATTTTGGGGATACAGTTACCTCTATTGGGGTTGCCCGTCCACAGGTATGCTCTCGCTACCCGGTTCAGTTCTTTTAGTGAGTCATCCGGGATGGTCCATACTGCCGCAATATACCACATCATGGAGAATACAGAAGTGTTAAGGGCCAACGCCCGACCCATCAACGAGGTGCTCGTATGCCCCCATCTCCCCAGTTTGTTCAGCTGATTAGCTAGCATACTTGGGCCCATTTGTGGTGTCAGACCCCTTCGCGTCATGAGGATGCCTAGGTATCGAGTGGGGGTGTCTGGCGTGTCCCAGGACATGTCTGCCTCCGGACCTTGCAGGTTTGGAATAGGGTCCTCCGAAAGCCACCATCCTATAGTTTTTTTCCAGTTGACTTTCATTTCTGACGCCAGTTTGAATGCTTCCATTGCTCTCGAAAGTGCCATAAAGGACGAATCTGAAGCTCTGATCAGAACAGTCACGTCATCTGCAAACATTATTACTGTCGGGAACTTGAGATGATGGGGTGTTCCTATATTGACCTCCGGTAATCTGTGTATCGATGGATCTTTTCGTAGAAAGGAAGCAATGGCTTCCATCACAAATAGGAAGATCGATGGAGCAAGCGGGTCCCCTTGCCTAACCGAACGTGATATACTATAGCTTTCGGACAGGAAGTTGTTTATCTGTACGCATCCCGAAGCGTCATTGTATAGGACTCGGACCCATTTCCTGAAGATTGGTCCCACTCCCATACGCTCCATGCTTGCGTCCATGAAGTCCCAATTAACTTGGTCGTAAGCCTTCTCAAAATCGAAAAACAGTATCGCTGTGTTTATCCTTTTTTCTCTAACCTCGCTGGTCGCTTCGTTGAGTGTTAAAACATTGTCCAATATGTAGCGGCCCAGAATGAAGCCTGTTTGATCAATGTGGAAGCATTTGTCTGTTATTTTCATGATTCTTGCAGATAAGGCCTTGGCCAAAATTTTATATGGTAGTGTGAGTAAGGAAATAGGTCTGTAGTTTCTAACGTCCTCCTTATCCCCCTTCTTATACAGCAGTGTAACCACGCTGCTGCTAATTAGATTGCCCAGACCCCCTTTTTCAAAACTATCCTGGTAAAAATTCAATAGGTCTCCCCCTAGATTTGGCCAGAATTTTTCCCAAAATTCTTTCGTCAACCCGTCAATTCCTGGTGCCTTATCGTTGTTCATGCTTTTGAGGGTCTGCAACAGCTCTTCTTTTGTAAGGGGTTTGTCCATACCTGCTGCTTGTTCCACTGAGATTGTTTGTTCCAGGTACTGTAGCATCCGCTGTCTCGCTTCCAAGGTGGCATTCGATGTGGGAGATCGGGTCTTTGTGTAGTATAAATCCTGATAAATTCTTTGGCAACTTCCATTATTTCTTCGCTGGTTTCCACTGTTTTTGTTGGATTAGAAAGGGTTTTCAGCTTGTTTATTGTGAATGCTCTCGTATTTGCCTTAATTCGTGCAAAAAAATGCTTCGTCATCGATTTGTTGAGTTCATAGTCGCACATTCTAGCTCTTATTTGCAAACCTTTTAGCTCCCACCACCTCCACATGGCGAGTTCCTCGCGAGCTTTCTCAAATATATTAGTGTAAAATGGTGAGGATGGCTCATCTCGTAAATTGAGCTCCGCTATCGTTAGTGCTTGTTCGAGTCTACGTTTCCTTTGTTTTCGCGTAGAGGCCAGCTCTCTCGATATCTCTGCAGCTGTCTTTGCAAGTGAGGTGTAGCTCTCCACAAACGATTCCCAGCGATTCTGGATAGGTAGAAAACTCATACTCCTAGCGCGCCAGAATTCGTGTATTCCTTCTTGGAAAGTTTGACTAAGTAGTAATGAGTTATTTAGGTTGTGGAACCCTTCGCCTTTCTTTACTTGTTGTTCGAATCCAATCGTTAATTGTATAGGTTTGTGGTCCAGACCTGGATAGGGTTCAGGGGTAAGATTTTCGCCTCCTTCACAACTCCCATGATAGATTCCGACACTAAGAAATAGTCAATCCGTGAGAAGGCAATGTGACAAGCATGATTCTTTTTGACTAGGGTGAAGGATTTCTCGGTTGGGTGCAGGGTCCTGAAAGGATCGACTAGCCCTTGGTCAATCATCATGTTTTGAATTGGACGGGCCTCCTGTGTGTTGGTAGCGTGAGAGGACCTTGAGATACAGTCTATTCCTGGGTCGAGGGTGGCATTCCAGTCCCCTGCCAGAATGCATGGTAGTAAAGGCGGTATATCGCTGCTCAAATTCTCTATAAAGGACACTCTTTGCGCTGCCTCATTTGGAGCATAGACGCTGTAAAGGTAGAACTCTTCTTCCTTCCACTTCAAATGCATTGAACACCATCTACCTTCCTGGAGGTCGGCCTCCTTATTCAAGACAGCCATTTCTGTAGAATCGAGAAGATTTGGGGATCAAAATGGCTACACCTTTCGTATTTGAGTTAGCATCTGCTGCCCATACTTCGTCCCGAATACCTCCTATCTTCCTTGCAATAATCTTCCGGATCCTGTCATGCTCTGGGGAGAAGGAAAGATGTGTTTCTTGCAATAGAATAGTATCTGCCAGTGCATTACTGTTTACTTTCAGTCCGTTGCGGATATCATTCCATTTTTATTCTTTATCCACGATATTCCCTAGACCGTTAATATTCCAACTTCTGATAATAATCCCTTGGATGCTCCGATCCCCCCCGCCCCTTTTCTCATTCGCTCTTTTCTTGATCTCCTCCATCTCTGATTACTTCCTGTCGAAGTGAGATCATTTATTCACAAGAGAATCTACGCAGGTGCATCACCCCCCGTGTTCTCCCCCATTCGGTCCACTCCCAACCCTCCTTCCTCTAAAGTTAGGCTTGCCTCTCTGTCGATGCTCATTCCCTGGCCCTCCGTACCTGACGTTCCTTCCTTGTCCTCGTTCGTCCCCCCCATCATTTTTCCTTGCACCTCCTCATCCTTCTCCATATCCGATTGCCAATCCCGTAGATCGTTGTCCGAGTCCTCACTCCTGTAGAATCTGTCCCAATCTACTGGGAAGGTCATCGTATCTAGGTCCCCATCTCCGTCCAACATGCCTGATTTGACCAGCTGGGCCACCGACACTGCAGTTAGTTCAGCCGGTAGACAGGACCCTGCTAGGACACTGTATGGCACTGCTGTCACCGTCCGCCACGGTCTCCATTTCATCCCTGATTTCAAGCTAGCTGTTGCTGCTAGCTTTACTATCAAAGGTGAGAAGGCTTGGGGAGATTGCCTCTTCTGTTCTGATTGTTGCGATCGTGTGTCCTCTTCCCCTGTGGGCGATTGCGGGGTCTCCTGGGCCGTCGTTGCTTCCACTGTATCGTATACCCCCAACGGGTAGTCGGGGGTAACTTTTTCCCGGAGAATATTTGCTACATTCTGGCCTTCCTCAAAGCAGGGGATCTGGAAGGAAACATCTGTCGCTATCTACCGCTCTTTCAGCTTCTCCATGTACCTTGCTGCAATCAGAGGTCGAATGTTCATCAGCGTCAGGCGAGAAGAGCGGGTTGTTTCCACTACCAAAGACGCCTGGTCCCTTGCAATGTGTGAGATCGTGACAAACTCTGCTGCGTACTCCTCATTCAGTTTTATCAGTTTGTCAGTTTGGGCCAGGACCGCAGCCACTTCTTTTTTCAGCAGCGTACGGTCTGATTCCTCGTGGGTTTCTGCTTGTGCTGCGTCAGCAGTCTTTTTTTTCTGGCTTTTCCCTGATCTCCATTTCTTCGGGTGCAAATCTTGGAAATCATCTTTAGACTCAGGTACGGTTCTATCCTTGTCTTTCAAACCTTGTTCCCTTGCTCTCTTCTTCTCAGCATATCTGAAAGCTGTGTATTCTGACACTTCCTCAGCTTTGACCTTCCTGAGAGCGTCAAACTGGTTGTTGGATGTACCCACCCCTCCCAACATGCCTCTCTTGCCGCTCGTCTGAGATTTCTCAGCATGTTTTAGGCACACTGCCTGAATGTCAAAAGCATGTTCCCTCTCTCTCTTGACCTTGTTCACATACTCCCTGAGCCATTGCAACGATTGTGCTGACTCTTCTTCACTGTCTTCTGGGGAAATTCCACCTGCATTGCTCCCCTCTCCCTCCTTCTCCAAATCTGTCCCACTCGCCTCTGTGACCTTTCCCCTCTCTTCACTCCTGGTCGGGAGCGAGGATGCCCCCTTCTCTCCTTCAGTTCCTTGCGCCTTCCTCCTCTTAAGCCCCCCTTCCTGGCTCCCTCTGTTCCCCGCAGTATCTAGTGTCCTTTTGTTGTCCGTTTGTGTTCCTTTCTTCGTGTTCCTCGCAGTCTGTTCCAGATTTCTTAGCCAGTTCTGGAATGTAACTGGTTCTTGGGTGAATTGATGGACTGCATTCTCTCTAACCGTGTCTAGATCCCATAGGAGATCCTCCCTGTCTTTCTCTTCTCTGATCACCCGTGAGTCTATCAGAGGGTCAGATTTAATCTTAGTCGGGTGCCCTGCCACCCTCCCTGTCGCCTTCTTCTGCCACCCTCCCTGTCGCCTTCTTCTGCCACCTGCTGTCAGCCGGAGGGAAAATGTCAGGTTTCTTAACTATCGGCTCCAGGTCGGCGTAGTGCCACACCCAATCTGGTTCCTCTAGATTGTCATCGAAGACCCATCCATTATAATTGTTGTTTGCGATGAACCAGATTCCCGGAGCATCCTCCACCTCACAGAGCATGTCGGGGAGGAGCTTGCGTTCCTTCGCCTGTTTAGGAAAATTGGGACAGTGTGGGTCTGTGCCCATGTGTCCCCGCTCTCTGCAGCGAAAGCAGATTGGTGCTGTCTTCGTTGATACTCCGATCTCCACCACTCTGTTTTCAATTTGCAATTTCCATGTTTCGGGAAAAGCCGGGGGGTTGTCCGTTTTAACTTCCAACACTGCAGTCATGGATCCGCAGTGAGGAGCCAGGAAATCTGGTGTGGGCAATATCCACTTGAGAATTCTGTTCGCTGGATATTGTCTTTCCAATCTGTCCACCAGCAGTCCATGAAAACCCGGCTGGATATTGTCAAACTGAACCCATAAATTTTCCTTTAACAGGGTTTGTTTATAAGACATAGTAAAAACAGGATTTTGTCTCTGCCTGACCACTTTCTTCCACTTTGTGATCGTGCAGACCGAGCCATTGCAGTTCCTGGACTGCATCTCAGTTGTCGCCTTCGCTTGTTCTTCCCTGACAAACAACGCGAGGATATTGTTCCTTCCCAGATTCTGCAATGTGAATGTCTCTTCCGATTGTTTCAGCTTTAATTCCTTCCTGATTGTTTCAATGACCCATTTGCGCTTCTCTGCTGGTTGCAATTCTGCTCCGCTGCGGGCAAAATTAAACACTACCCCATGCCTTTCATGCAGATCATCCAATTCTGCAATCCTTTCCTTTGGGTATTTCCATACAATAATTTCCTCTTCTTTGCCGTCAGTTTTTTGGATCTCCGTGGTTTGTATTCCTTGTACCTTTGTCTTGTCTATCAGAAATTTGAGTGCTTCGTTGTCTATCACGCACATGCCTTTCTCTCCCGTGTTGTGATTGACTGCCCCCGAGTTTTGAGAGGAAGAAACCATTTTCTCTCGCTGCAAGTGGGTCCGTCCTCCCCTACTGCTTCTCAGATATGAGTTCAGATATCAGCACAGACGAGTGAAGAAATGGGTAGCATTTACCCTCCCCACTTGGTGATCGGAAGTCTACGGAGGAATCCTTGAGGATCTATATGGACGCTTAGAGCCAAATCTAGGAAGGTTACTCTGCGGTGCTCATGTTCTGTGATGAATTCACCGTCTTCTTTCAAGGTCCGTTTACTCCTTACTCGCTATTGCAGAACAGATACAATGAGGAGGTGGGATCGTGGGAGACTCGTAATGAACTCCGATATGGATTGGGATCGGGATTCGAGATCGAAATCCAGAAGGCGTTAGGATCGAGATCAATCTGGAGACGGGATCGGAAGGGGGGATAATGTCGGGATCAAAGTAAGGTTGGGAGGAAGGGGAGGGGGGGAGGTTGTGAATGGAGCTGTCAATGGAAGGGGGAGAAGGATTGTGGTATAGAGGGGGGGTGGAGAGGTGTAGTGGGGAGAGGTTGTTATTGAAATGCTGATGTTACGATGAGGGAGGAAGGGAGGTGGACAGGTTGTGAATGGAGCTGTCAATGAAGGAAGGGAGGGGGAGAGGTTGTGAATGGAGCTGTCAATGGAAGGGGGAGGAGGTTTGTGGTATAAAGGGGGGGGTGGAGAAATGTAGTGGGGCGCCAAGGGAGTGGGGGGTGTAGGTGATGTATGTTTTGTATGATGGAGGATGGGGCTAAGGACTAGGCCGAGTCTGGAAGACGAAAAATGGGACGATGGCTGGGGATCTTAGCCTAGATGGGTAGTGATCGGGATTAGGATGGGGTCGGAGTAGGGTTGATGTCGGGGTTGGGAGCGGAACAGGGATGAATTCGGAGTCGGGGTGGGGAAAGGATCGTTGTCGGGTTGGGAATGAGACCGAGAGTAAAATGGGGGAAGGGGTCTGGTTTGGGATGGGATCGAGATCTGGGTGTAGGCAGGATTAGACTCAGAGTGGGAGTGAGAGCGGGATTGAGGTTGATAAGGTCAGGATCGGGGTGGGGATGAATTCGGGTTCGGAGTGGGGATAAGAGACGGGGAGAGGATCGTGATTGGATCGGGGATGAAGTCGAGAACAGGATGGGGGATATGAGCTGAAACGGTTTGAGGATGGGATCGTGAGTGGGTTGTGGTGGGATCGAGGCGGGGGTGGATCGTAGTTGGAATGAGAGGAGGGATCAAAATTGGGGTGGAGACAAGATCGGGTTCAGAATAAGAGAGAGAGCGGGAATGGGGTGTATGCGGTCAGGATCGGGGTGGTAAGGGATTCGGGATCGGGAGGGGGATAAGATCGGAGTAGTGTTGGCGTGAGGAAGGAGTCGGGGTCGGTGTATGAGAGTGGACCGTGTCGAAGTGGGGATGAACTGTGGTTGGTGTTGGGAAGGAGATGGGAGCGGGGTCTGAGTGGAGATGAAATTGGGGTCGGGATGGGGGGGAATGAGGGTGAGATCGCGGTCGATGTGGGGAAGGGAGGGGGTCGGGGTCGGGGTCGGGATGGGCTCGGGGTGAGATTGGAGGTGAGATAGGTCGCGAGATTGGATTATAATGGGGAACTGAGTTGTGGTGGTGTTGTGAGAGAGATGGAGGTTGGGGGGTGATAGGAAGGTTGATTAATGGGGGAGGGAGATTTTGGAGCATTTAGTTTGAGAGCGAAGTGAGGTTGTAAGGAATGTAGAAGACTTGAACGAGTTTGGGGAAGAGTAGTTCGGTGAATGCCGAGGTATCAGAGTGGATTAGGTTGACAAGGAGGCGGTGGAGGTTCAGCTTGGTGTTGAGGATTGTAGGTTAGTAGGGGGCGATAGCCTCGATGAGGGTAAGGGGGAGTGAGGTTGATTGGTAGGTCTCACTGATTGTGTGTGATTGGAGTCTTCGCTGGCCGCAGATGTCCGACTTCTCCAACGTTTGCTGTAATCCGTAGTTAGAGCTCAGGTGAATCTTTCACAGCCATCTTCGTCCTCGCTCGTAATGCCATTGGTGTCTTGGGAGGGAAGCGACAACTTCTGAGCGCGCGCCCAAGGCGCTCGCGTGTGGTGATGCTCGTCTAGCCACACTTGGCTATGGTTGTCCGGTCTCGCTTGCGATGCCGTTAGACTCTTGAGAGGGTAGCGATGAACCCTGAGCGCGCGCTCGAGGCGCGCGCACGTTGTGACGTTCGTCTAAGCTCACTTGGCTATGGCTGTCCGGTGAGAGATCGCGATGGAGGATCCCGCGGACAGCTTCGGCGTCAAGTTCCTGCTGGCCCCGGGTAGGGGCACGGGTCTGGCGTAGCGCTGCGCTAACCGACCGGCGTGAACGCAAAAAAAAAAAAAAAAAAAAAAAAAAAAAAAAAAAAAAWWWWAAAAAAAAAAAAAAAAAAAAAAAAMWAWAVMMAAAAAAAAAAAAAAAAAAWAYWTTAAAAAAAAAAAAAAAAAAAAAAAAAAAAAAAAAAAAAAAAAAAAAAAAAAAAAAAAAAACACTCACTCTGGGATTTCTTTCATTTCGCTATTGCTTATTTTCCTTGCAATTTGGTATTAGAGCTGGTTCGAGCCGCTCCGCTGGCTCCTTCGCAATAGCTGTTTGGTTCTTCGCTGGACATTGTGGGGCAGTGATAACGCCTGTGCGTAGGTTGATAGGCGGCTCAGGGTCGTGTGGGCTCGCCAGGAAGGCTAGGTGGTGGCATAGGGATGCACACTGAATGATGAGAGCTTGCTGACGTGGCAATTTAAGCCGAGGTGGAACTTCATTGCCTCGTGGGTTGTGTCGAGGCATCGACTGGTCATCATAAATGCACATTAGGTTACTGGTGAGAAATTTGTGGTTGGTGGCAGCATTATGAGGTACGTTGCTCCTTACCTTATCTACCCTCTGTATTACTTCTTACCGTGAGGAAGTGAGTTATGTCTTGAGAGTCCTCTCATTGTGAGGTGTCGCAAGCTCTCAACATTGAGAGTCGACATTCTTCCTGGGGAGCATGCTGGTGGGAGAAGGGCTTTGCCTCTGAAGGGCCCTGGACGAAGCACTCGGGTCACCGTCACCATGCCAACCCGCTGGGACTAGTACACACATGCTTTGCCACTTGTCCTTGGTACTGCTTGTTGCGCTGTAGAGGGAAACTCGACTAACCAGTCCCAAGAGAGACGCCTACCAGACCATCTATGAATAGTTGTGGCGGGATCCAAGTTGAATACTGGCTGTGATAGTCGTCCTGTCTGCGACGCTAAATAATTCCTGAGGACCTTGGGGGCTGTCCTTAAATTGCCTCTTGATCAGCCAGATCAACCGGATGGACGTCCCGTTGCATGCGAGGATAAAGAACGGGCAGAACTGGTCATAACTTTGAAGCGATTTCCTGGGTACAGGGGTGGGCCGATTGCACACCTTCAAATACGTTGTTGAACCAAAGCTTCAGGACGTCGACATCAAGTGACTACTCAAGAGGGATAAAAGGGGAGGGAGGATACCAGTAAACAATTCAGTTTATTATGGAAAAATTTCCATTCTGCATGCAAACCTAGCAAACAATTTTATTTTTATTTTTTGATTAATTAGTTGTGACAGACACTGCTAACAACTGACAGACAACTGCAAATAGGTAGTACATATTCCTTGCTGCATCTTAGACTAGT